CGCCTCGGATTGGCTGTTTTTGGTCATTTTCGGCTGAATTCAGCCAAACTTGCATCGGTTCTTGTGAGAAAACACACTTAGGACCCTCGGTGGGCTGAAAAAATGTAAAAAATCAAAACTCACCGGCAGTGGGGCTCTCCGGTACGACGGCTCCTCCGGCTCACGTTGCGGTTGGGTGTTTTACTCTGGTCAACCTATAGAGGAGGAAATGGTGATCACAACGGTGAAAAAATCACATCGAACGGGAATCGAGAAGGGGCTCATCGAAGGCAAAAATCGAAACACCCTGCGACGAGGTCGCTAAGGTTCGGCTGCGTTTTTCGGCTAATTGACATGTTCTTTCACTCTGATTTGGCCATGGGTGGGTTTGAAATCAAATTCTGAGCAAATGGTAGAATTTTTACCTCGTTTGGCGGTCGAAAATTGCTCCGGTACGACAGCGGGTGGCGGTAGTCGGCTCCTTGGCCGCTGGGCTGTCTTCTCCGACGAGGGGCTCTGGCGGCTAGGGTTAGGGTTTGGGTGCATATGGGGTTATTTATACTCATCTGCTTTTGATCTGGGCTGTCCATCGCTTTTAATCTGGACCGTCCGATCGCAATTAAATAGGAAGTGAATCTGGATCGTTCATCGCGATTCAATCTGGGCTGTCCGTGCACGATTCAATCTTAGCCATCCGTGCGCGTTTTTGATCTGAGCCGTCCGTGCGCGCGGGAACGGATCTCAGTCATTCGAGTGCGCGTACGCGGATCACCCGCGTGGCCTCCCACGTCAGTATTTCTTCCACCTGGCGCGTACTAGTTGGTCGGGGCTGCTGACCGAGTAGCTGACGTTGTATAACTTTTTTAAATTATATTTTGACCCCTATTTTCTGATTTTTCTTTCAAAAATACTCATAGAACCTAAATTTTCACCATTTTTTCTCAAAATTATTTTCAATTTAATCAAATTAGATAAATTAAATTAAATTCAATTCAATTAATACATATTTATATTTATATAAAAATAAAATAAATTAAAAATAATTGGGTGTTACATAGGCTGCAAAACTTTTAATGGATAAAAGATTTATAGTAGTTGAAGAATTAGGCAATTAGATATACAAATGGAAATTGTTTGTATAGTTGAACTTTAACTATCGAAAAGGCACCCACGGGTAAAAGTTAAACATGTACAAACAATTTTCATTTGTGTAACTCAGTTTTTAACAATGAAACTATATTTATCAGTAAAGATAACATATATGAAGAAAAAATAAACTATACTAACGATTTTTTTATGTATAGATCTTAAATTTAAAAATAAAAATAGATCGATCGAGTGTATTTAAATAGATACTATGTCGATTAAAAAATCTATATTAAAAAAAATAAAAATTTTAAGTTCATAAAGAATGATCATAGTAAAGTTGTTACTATGATCATTCTTCTAAGTTCATAAAGAAGTTGAGGAATTTTGAAGAAATGTAAAACTTGCCCGTAAATATAAAATTTGTGACGAATTCAAAATTAAAATTAAAATTTAACCCATATAACAAGAAGATTAATATTAATTAGTCTAATGTTTTTTAAAATATCAAAATTAATTTAGCATTTTTTGAAAATTTGACATCCAATACAACTTGAATGAATATTATTAAATTAATTAGACAAGAACCAACTTACAATTAGATATATAAATATATATATACACGATCAAATAACAAAACATATCAATATTGTAAAATATGTAAATAATTTAAGATCAAACAAAAAGAGTCCATTCATTTTTGAAAGGTTATATGCATGTTAGGGTCCATGTTCCCTAGGAGCAGAACTTCATATGCATATGCATATACATGAAGCACATGGATGTGTCACTTATTTGACCCCCAAAATCTCTGTGTGAATGGTTTGATTTCACATGCTATAACATGATTGGTGACCAACAATAAATTTCTTCTACACCAAGTTCCCACCATATATACATATGTATATATATATATATATACATATATAATATTACTATTTCATTTGTTTAATAATACCCCTTGTATAGTTATCTCAAGTTATATCTCTCTATCATCTTGTGCATATGTTTATAAAGCTTGATCCTTTTTCTTCCGGGTGCAACCAGATTGTAGTATAGGTTTCACTTATAGTTTATGTGTATATGTATATATATATATATATATGTAAGAGCTGCATATTTATAAAATAATATAAAGTACAAACAAAATCAATTTTTTAAAAATATTAATATTTTAAATTTTTTTAATTTCATCAATTATTTTCACTATCATCATCTTCAATGTTATCTAACTTATATAATTTAGAGTTATTTAACTTATAATATATATATATATATGATTTCATAAATAAAACATATATAGAATTAAAAAATAACAATTATAAAACATCTTATTGTTATATAACATATAAGCTGTCATTTTCTCAAGATCTTAATAGGATGAGATTAATCAAGAAAAAATTCCGTGAGAGTTCTAGTGATTCTCATGTACTAAAGATTTGCTTCTTGTATATCTTTCATTTTAAAGCTGTATAACACTATTCTGGCAGCATTCATATATTCTTAAGTATAAAAAAATTAAAAAGGTCATCTATATATATATAT